TAGATATCTTACCGAATACAACTTGGCTACGGGCTCTGATCACCACTGATTCACGCAGACTAATGCTGCTGTTTGCCATGCCCGCATCGCTGACAGGTTTCCCTGCCCGGACCGCTGACGGATTGCCCTGACCGACAATATTGTTCATACATAATGCGGGCAGCGTTCATTTTGACCTGACCGCAGACCGCAGAACGCATCCAGTGTGGCAAATCCTTTAAGCTTTAAAAGATTACACAGACAGACCTTAACCTTGTAACTTTAAATAAACAGCCGGATACACATAAGGTGAGATGAAGTAAGTACTTAGTTAATTACCACAAAAAGTTAATGCATGCTGACACCAAGAAAAACTAAGTTCAGGGGTGAGTGTAAGAATCCTACTCATCCTAACTAATATTATAAATGCGAAATTGAGTTTGTTTGTTTGTTACGCTTTTACGCCTAAAGCATTGAACGGATTCGGATGAAATTTGGTACGCATAAAGTTTATGACCTGAATTGAGAAATACGACACTTTTTATGCCAGATAAGTGTTACGTTCTTGAGGGGTTTAAAAAAACTAAAATTAAGGCAGACGATGTCGCGGGCGGCCTCTAGTATTTTTATAAATTTGATAGATTGTGTGTGTTACTCAATTACGTAAAAACTACTGAACGTATTTGGATGTGTATAGTTTATGACCTGGACCGAGACATGGGATACTTCTAATCTCGAAAAAATGTTACGTTCCTGTGGGATTCTTAAAAAACTGAAGTTATCGCGGACGAAGTCGCGGGCGGCTGCTAGTAATAAATAAAAAAGAGATTTTATAGATAACATTATTTATAAGGCTTGGAATTTAAATGTTTATAAGAATTTTCTAACTAAATAAGAAACAAGATGAGAAGAATAAGCGAAAATTCGATCGAAATTTCATTTTCGTTGAAATAGAGTAGCTGTCCTGATTCTTGAATGATTCTCTAAAAAATAATGTGGACTAATTGTAGTCCACATTATTTTTTATGTATTGACATAGAGGACGTAAGTAGCAGTAAATGCTGATGATATGTCGTTTGAAACAAAAAAAATAGACTTACCTAATTTTTTCACTTGATATAAATTTCCTACGTCTATTCGCATTAGATGATAATGTGGTATGTAACAGGCTAACTATAGACATCTTAAGACGCTTACATTACCTAACTACTATCGATAAACAAATAACTTTTACAAGTAAGTAGCAAAACTAAGTAGCAATTCTCTCAATACACTCAAACAAACACAGCTAAACATAAAAGTGCCTATTCATCGATCACTAAGTTTTGATACTAACCAACCTACATTTGGATAACAACAAAAGTTAGGATTAGCGGGGAGTTAGATTCGATTTCCGCTCGGTGTTAAACTTCTGCGGGATAGCAGTATAAAATTCGTCTATAGCAGTGGAAAGGAATAAAGATAACAACGTATGGTATGCTGTAAATCAGCCGGTTGAATGCTGGCCAACAGTCAGGTTTGCATTCCATTTGACCCCGGCGAGTCAAAATGACTAAACTTATTTCCATTTGCGTGCACAGTGGAAATTGCAATAGTTGAATGGTTTTTATGGAGTGCACTTTTTGTCCATGACATCGGAACAGAGAAAAGAACTCATACTAAAAATTTGCTGTGGCTTTAGAAGCCAGCTTTTAGTTGTTTAATAAGAAAGGACATTGTTCAGCGTCCATACATAGTTAGCCTAAGAACCAACAATCATGAAATATTATTTTCTTGGTTCAAAATCGTAAGTAAATGACTGTAAAAACAAATATTTTTGACGGACACTTCTGAGAACTTAAATTATTAGGAAAACTAAAAATTTTTTGAGGTTATGTTTAAAATGAAATATAGGTCAACCTATGAATTTAGTATGAACTCAGTATGAAGTGAATTAATATTACAACTAATTCATTTTATTCGGTGCGATTTTAAAGAATAACTATTAGGAAAAACTTGGTAAGGTAGGAATCATGAATAAAATAAAAACTGTAGTTTTGCTTCTTATTTATTGACTATTTTTCACACAATTGTATCATATTGTTTATTGTATTTATTTGTATATCACATGTATATTGTGTAAATATGCAGCGTGAATGTGTATCAGGTGTTCTTGAATAATTTGGCAGTATGATCCTCTCAGGATGTTGTGGCACAGGTTCACTAGCACTTGGTAATAAGGGCTCTGCTCTTTGGTAACATCGATGGCATATTAGATAGCCGAAATAGTTAAATTAAAGGAAAAATAATCGCAAATAAACACACACAACAGGTAATCCGAAACGAGAATGCACTTTCCGGTATTTAAACTACTCTTTGGAATGCACGAATGCCACAGATTACTACGAATACAAACTGCATGCACCACAACCACAGAGTATCAAGTTTTATGCCGGCCCTTCACTTGACACCAATTTGTCCTTGTCATGCTTAATAAGGAATGAAAAGGACAGACTGATGTCATGTTTTAAAATAGCAAATACGAATAGCCAAGTGAAGTGCCGGCATTAGGAAGAAAGAGTGTTTTGTGTGCAGCGCTGCCATAGATTATACACATAAAATGGTATTTATTGTCTCAGATTATTTTTTAACTTTTTAATTTAGCTTACTTAACTGGAAGTGTCCGTCACAATCTAAATACTGATAATTATCGCAAAAAATATACTAAGAATTATCATAATGCCAAATTGGTGTTGGTTCTTAGGCCAATTTTAACATTGTCCTTTACATCTGGAATGAAGAACCTTAATGACGTAATGCGAGACTGGAGATGTTTCAAAAACAAGAATTTTAAGTATTTAAATGAGCGCAGTTAGTAAGTGGTTACGTAGGTATTTTATATGAAATAGCTAGGTATTCCTAGTTCTGTTATATTTAGTATGGACCGGATCCTCTATCTTGATCAGGGGCAAACATGAATTTAATTACAGATATCAACGAGAAATGACGAGTTATTAACTTCAAGATTTGATTCATATTCGGAAATCGTTCCAATCGCAATTTCCATCTCAGTAGTTATTAGGTCAGAGGAAATCGCAAGCTCCTGCTGAGGGAAATTAAAATTATACAAGCATACTTAGTACTTACATGCCTATCTACCCTACTTATAGAAGCATTAGGTAAATCGAAAAGTGTAGGTATTCATTTATGTTCCTTATTCATTATCTAAGTTTATTTGTTTTACGAAAGAGCAACCTCTACTCACTTCTTCCCAAACAGCTAATTCATAAGACCGACCCCGATGAGAAACACGACGAAAAAAATCTATTTCTTGTATGGCTTCCTAAAAAGAAAAGAAAAAAAACTAGAAAATCCTTACTAATTCATTTATAGTTTAATGTTTTGGGAAGCAATGTCTGGTAATACTGAACCGATTTTGAAAATTCTTTCACCGGTATGTAGCTACATGATTCCCGAGTGACATGAGTAGGTACTAGAATATTAATCGTGTTGAAATGTCACCCTTGCAAAGCTGGGCCGGACCACTCACTTGGTCGCTGCTTCTTTTAAGACGGATAAGGCAATTGGCATCGCTATGCCAATGGAAACTCGCTAGTTTCCCTCTCGAGTTGAAGCACCAGTTTGGAGATGTAACCTCCACCAAAGTGTATCTAGGGTGAGGTTTGGGATGTGCTGAAAAATCGATCTTACTAGAATGATGCTTCAGAACGAACGCAGTAAAATATTATTTCTAACAAACTTCCATAACCCCCAAGCTTACCTGACCATGCCGTGACTCGTGGTTACAGGTTTCAGGCCCATTTGGCGGTTATGCTTCACAAGTTCACATTTGAAAAAGAACGAAGTTCTTTTTCATATGGTAAGGACATGGCGGATGGGGGCTAGGCGGAAAAAGTGTAAGATTTTTCCATCACAACAACAAGTTGTTTGGTAGCGTACGTACCAATTGTTTGTATTTATGTTTAGTTATTTCGTTTCAATCGAGTGTTCCACCACACTCACGTTTGCTTTTTTACTTTGATAAATTGATAAGTTTCACGAGAAAGTTAAAGCCTATTGGGATTGTGACAGGGCAACTTTGATTTAGAAACTATTTGAATGTATAGCTGTATGGTGTAGGTTTTTGAATATTCTTTATCAGGGTTCCGTACCGGATGGGTAACAAAAGAATCCTATTAAAAAGAATCTTTCCATCCGCCTGCCAGAATGTTGTTTGTAGGTATCTCTTGACTAGTAAAAGGTAGACTCAATTTTTCATAGAATAGGGATGATGACTATTTTTTTTCTTCGTTTATCAGGTTGATTATCAAAAAGTATTGGACACGTTTTTTTTCATTTTTCACACAATATAAACATTGCAGAGATATATTGATTTGAAAAGTCGCATGACGTGACGTTTGAGTCCACTTATAAGTGAAAATTCACTCAAAAGTGACGTCGCGAGCCCCTTCTCCCAAACTTTGACGCGCTATAACTTTGTCGTTTTTTGGTTGATTACCCAAAGAAAAAATACGTGTCCATTATTTTTTGATCATCTAACTGACGGACTGACTGACTAAATAGAATTTCGTTTACTGTACCCCGTCATCACCCCTATTGCCACAACAACAATAAAGTTAAAAAAGGTCTCCGAATTTGAATCGTCGCAATGGCAGAAAGGTTCTCGAATGGCGACCGCGTAACGGACGAAACTCAGTGGATAGATTCCCCACGAGGTGGATCACGATCTAGTGAAGGTCACGGGAAGCCGGTGGTTCAGAGTGGCTAAGGCAGGACCGATCGGTGTGGTGATCCTTGGGGGAAGCCTATGCTCAGCAGTGGGCGTCGTAGGTACGGCTGATATGACGATAATAATGAATGGTTGCGTTGCTAATTATATCCTTGTATGACACGGAAACCATTCGTATGCAGGTGAAACAGGAGTCAAAAATTGTAAATATAAAAAATCAAATAACCCGCCTGTTTAATAAAAACTGAATAAAAAAACAAATCCAGTAGTCTAGGATTCTGTTAAAAGAAACAAAACTTGTAAATTCCTGCATATCTGTTGCTTAAAATTAAATGAATATCAAATATAAAAATGAAATACTATTTGTGACATAGGTATATTTTTTATTAGATAAAAATAAATATAATTTTCGTTATATAGATATAATATCTTCTTTCAACCCTTTTGCCGCAATTGGTCAATTCAAATTACAATACCACCTAGATTCAAGAAAATTTTCTAATAAATTAATATCACAAAAATCAATACTTTCTGATTTTATATACAATAAGAATTTTAAATAAAACCTTATGATCTACCTTATTAACATATTGTTAACCTTCGAACTAAGCTAGTGACAAAAACGAATAAATACAGTATGCATATAATAGTAATTCACAACAAATGTGAGCATCGCATTCAAAATAAATAACAATGGATTGAAAATAAAGGACAAGAAAGATCACAGGCATTAAAATACAGCGGCTTAACGCATTATGACTTATGAATTAAATTTATGAACTAGGTACAATATTTTGAGCTTACAACATTAAGTACGTTTGGAAATAAATATCTAGTGACCTACTCACCAAAACTTAAAATAAACATTGATTCGTTTCGATGTTGTCCAGTCACCGTCAAAAACAGGTGAAGTCGTAATTTATTTATTTGTCTGTGAGGTAGCTGAATTCAGCCAACACAACAGACACGAAAATTATATTGGTTCACGTGGCATGAATCACTAACGAAAGCATAAATTTATATATGCGCTGCCGTGTAAGAAAAACGTGCGTCATTCGATGCTGATTGCAACTGAGGCCCAAGCACAAACTATGATGAATCCGTAATAGTACATCGTGATTCAAACTATCAACAGATTACATCGAAAATCCCTATGTACCCTATCGATAGAATCGATAATATCGAAACTATCGATAGCACCGAACAAAGCAATACTATCGATACTATTGTAGATCGTTGATCGTTAATAACAAACTATTGATAGTATCGATATTATTGATTTTATCTGCAACAATACTATCGATAGTATCGATACTAGCGATTGATTTAGACTAAAGTTTGTGATTGACTATAATACCTGAAAATTGTAAACAATACTTTTGCAAATTGATAAACTATCGATAGTATGGTTGCAAATAAAATCGACAGTATCGATAGTTTGTTATTAATGAACTACAATACTAGCGATAGTATCGATAGTATTTCACTTATCCGATAGTATTGACTTGTTCTGTTCTATCGATAGTATCGATAAGCCGATCGATTGTCACACGATTGGTTGGCTATCGATAGACTATCGATTAATCATCGATAGTCGACTATCGATCGGCATCACTACTCCAAACTTTGTATTGCCTTAACTTTGTATTTGTATTGGCCCTGCTTAATTTTCATAGACACTTTGACGATGCGATACGATTACGAAGCTGTCAAAGTTCTTCCTTCGGCCACCGAAGTATTAATTACATACTATTACAAAGCAATAGATTTATACATGTCAGGGATCACAGTTGTATTGGATTATAGTTATTGGCGGGATTGCTACCAAGCAGCTTATTTTTTGTGAGTGCTCGGTATTTCGGCTCTGTTGCAAGAGCCATGATCACGGAGTAACTGAAGTCATGCGGGTAGATGTTATTGGCAGACATATCGGTCTACCCTCTGAATGTTTGCGACAGCTGATTTCTGCCTATCATTGTTCCATTGTTTAAAAAAAACAAAGGTATATGGTAGCAATCCTCCTTCGGCCACCGAAGTATTAATTACATACTATTACAAAGCAATAGATTTATACATGTCAGGGATCACAGTTGTATTGGATTATAGTTATTGGCGGGATTGCTACCAAGCAGCTTATTTTTTGTGAGTGCTCGGTATTTCGGCTCTGTTGCAAGAGCCATGATCACGGAGTAACTGAAGTCATGCGGGTAGATGTTATTGGCAGACATATCGGTCTACCCTCTGAATGTTTGCGACAGCTGATTTCTGCCTATCATTGTTCCATTGTTTAAAAAAAACAAAGGTATATGGTAGCAATCCTGCTAATAGGTACCTATAGTGTTAGTGACCATGAAAGTTTCAAACAATACAATATCATAGTTGTTATTCATGAAAATGTTAATAAATATTTGTAAGTTTGTAAAATTTGAAGACTACCTATTCTTCTAGCTGCTACTTGTCATAAAAGTTTATTAAAAATATTGTGAATAAAATTTTATAATGAAACGCATTATTAAGTTAATTATTGAAACCTACAAGACAGGGCAAAAGCTAATAAATACAACTAAATATACCTACATTTAATTAATAAAATAAATATGTATTACACACTCTACCATGTGTTTTATGTAGTTTATATAGATTAAAATTCGGGTGAGTTATATACAAAATGCATATTTCAATATTCAAACTATGCTATTAAAACTTAAACCAAAAACAAAAATATTGACTCTTAAAACATGGACTTATAAAAAAAGGCGGACAGAGTCCCGGTAAACAATAAACTGTGTCGCTCAGAGTCGGCCAGGTCGCTGTACGTACAAGCCGGCACGCATACATTCACACAATAGTCAGCCACTACGCGTGCAATCTTCTGCGCGCGTCTTAATTTTGAAGCTCAAGACTTATATACAACTAAAGGAGGACTCCGGCGTGTTATTACGTATGCATTACCTCAAAAGGTTGATTAAAATTTTTAACCGATTTCGAAAAGAAAGAGGTTCGCAATGCGTCATATTTGTTTTTTTTATTGTTGTTCGCGCAGATCTCCGAGATTCGTGGACCGTTTATGATGATTCTTTTTTTGTTTTAATCAGTTTACTAGCGAGATGGCTGCATATTAGTTTACTGGAGATCTGATGAGTACTTTCGGAGAATTGGGTAAATCAACTAAATATAAAGAGACATAAATAAAAGAGAATGCAGGCCAGGCCATGTATATTTAGTTGATTTACCCAATATTGAGAAAATTCGATACATTCTAGAATTTCTAATGAGTCCCGACTGTTAAAGTAACTTTGTTCCTTATTAAACAGAATACTAGACAACTGGACTTGTTTTTTTTCTTTTTAGTACATTTTTTTTTATTTTTGACATTTTAATTTCATTATTTTTTAATTACACGAGTTGTATATTTTCTAAATATTCTTTTAAAACCCTTCACTTTGATACCTCGCTTGACGGGTTATAAAAATACTTATACTTTTTTTTTCAAAATGTTTCATTTTGGCGTATAAAATCTGTTATTTTGATTTTTTGAAATTTTAATATACCGAGTGCCACTCACACAATCACGAAAAATCAAATGACACCTCGCATGTCAAAATCCGTCAAGACGTTCAGGCTGTAGGGCGTGCCAAATTATTGGACATACATACATACATACGCTCGAAAAACATTATCCTCCGCAGTCGGGCAAAAAGTAAAATTTTGAACAATCAAAATATTTTCATGTTTTTACTGTGTTTTATTGGTAAAAAAATTGGCTAACCTAGCAACCCAACAATTCACTCACTCATCAATAGCCGCCGCCATTACAGTGCCTCAGTATTGTTTTAGCCGAAACTCTGTCCGCCTTTTTTTATACGTCCATGCTCTAAAATTAAATACTTAGTGTCGCCGCACACGGACCACCGGCCACAACCACAAAACGCCGCCACCGGCATATTTCTTGTAGTTTTCATACATTTTATACGGACTCGCCACACACGCTACAAATCGTCATTACTCGCTTCTTGTGGCCCGCCCCGGTCACTTAATGCGCCTCTCTCCCTTCCTCAGTCGGCCGCTGTCGCGCGCTTCAGCCACTTTAGTAGCCGCTTCTAGCTTCTCATGGCGGTGTTTGTGGCGGTGTTTGTGGCTGTGGCGTGTGGCCCGTGTGCGGCGACACTTACAGTCATCGAAATATTAGATTGGGGAAAAATTTTCTTCACATTTTATAATATGAAATATCAAAACATTTTTTTTATTAAAGTTTTTTTACATCTAACTAAAATATTTAGGTACCAGTTTGTTCGATAACTTTTTGCTATCTTATAGGTATAGGACATGATCCCATTGATATAGAAATTTTGGGGCTTCTGATAAATTAATCGCGACAAGTGGTTTTGGCAGTCCTCTCGTGATGTTAACCGGACTCTGCCTAAAGAATTTTGAAGAGACCGAAACAGGTGGAAATCTGAAGGTGTCAGGACTATACGGCGGATGCATTAACACCTCCCAGTCAAACTCTTAATTTTTGCTGAGTGGCTAAAGATGTGTGAGGTCTAGTGTTATCAAGATGAAAAACCACAACACTTCTGTTGATTAATTCCGCTTTCTCTCAACTTCTTGCTTTAATCTCATCAGTTGTTCGCAGTATAGTTCAGAATGGTTCGATGGTCCTGCCTGGCGGTAACACCTCATATTGAATAATGCCCTTCCAATCCCAACATACACACAGCATCACCTTGTTGCGAGTTAACCCGCAACAAGGTGATGCTGTGGTCATTTCGCCAGAGTCTGTGAAGCCGGCCTTTGACCACGACCTTTTTCGCACGCTCTTGTCGTACGTGATCCACTTTTCATCACCAGTTATCAGCTCCTTCAAAAATAGTTTGATTTCATCAAATCGTCGTAATAAAGAATCACAAATGAGTACTCAGTTCATTAGGTTTCTTTCAGTGTGTTCGTGAGGCACCCAAATATCGAGATTATTTGTGTACCCAGCTTTTTTCAAATGCGCCAAAACTATTAAACTATTCTGTGGTCAATTCTCAGTTCTTCAGCTACGTCGTAACTATAGACATACCGATCTTGCTTCACTTTAAAAAAAATGGCATCCATTTTATCCGTAACAGGACGACCAGAACGACGTGCATCTAGAGATCAAAATTTCCGGATCGAAAACGCTTAAACCTAATTTGTGCTACTCTCACAGACACTGCCTTAGATCCGCAGACGTCACAATTTCTTTTTCACCACTTAGGTAACATTTTTACCTTCTTTGTAGTAATATTTTTAAATGTATCGAATTTCTTCATTAGTAAGAAAAACAAATAAAAATCTCCTTTAAAATCAACAAGATCTTCTTTAAAATTCGAACTTTCAAAAAAGTTTTAATTTTAAAGATACCCGAACTAGACAGATAAAAATGCTATATAGCCAAAGATATTTTATTACAAGTTCATACATACTATGCGAAAATACTTTTTCCCCATCCTATTATAAAACAACAAAATACCTTGTCATAGTTCTTCTTTTTTAAAGTTCATAAATTTATTAGTAAATAAATATATAATTAATTGGCAAAAAACTTTAAACCCTTATCTTAATACATATTTAAATACACACGTGACTTAATTATAATAGTGGCCTGAATTCGGAAATAAATTTAAGTGACCAAAAATACGATATTAAATACATTTCAAAATCTAGACACTATGATAATAAACTATGTCTAAAAACAGTGACTAACTTCCTTTAAATGCAACACATTTAATAATACATAATCATAAATAAACATTATTTATACTTCAAAATCTTATTTGTAAAGATAAATTGTATATTGAATATACATTATTATTACCTTGTTGTCCTGAGGAAAAGTCAAGGTCAAGAAGTCAATGCATTTAAATGTCTGTAGTTGAAAGTCACTCGAAGGATGAATACATTGCTTACAAACAAACAATAATCTCTAACGGCCGCACTCAAAGAAGTCTATTAAAGTTTGTCTGATTAAATTTGATGCTATTACTTTCTTTGCTATAGCAATAGAATGAAATAACGTGAATTAATGAAGGATAAATTTATTTGACGTTTCAGAGTACGGCTTCATGTTTAGTTTATTTCAAAATAAGAAATTAAGTCATAAGATCACCATTATTGCAACTACCCCATTTGTTAAGAGTTTGAAAATAATATTTTATCTATTTAAATTGATTTATTCAATAAGTTAGGTAGCTGATAAATTTAACAAAAGCATATTTCGCACTAATAGTATGTTTCGTGTAAGAAAACGTACCTACTATTCAAATAGTAAGAGAGAGAGAGTAATAGCTACCTTCAGAGACCATTGAAAGTTGATGTTTTACAAAGTAATGAGTTGGTGAGAGAATCAACTATTACAAAATTAAATATTCGTTGCTAACTCTCGAGTACTGTCACTACTGAATCTTTTTATGATAACTATGCATTTAAAAGTATTGGCTATAGGCCCAATCACAAGAATATATACGAAAACTAAGACGATAGCTTTTGTAAAATTAAACGTAGGTATTTGAATAAATATAAAGTGGTTATTTTAAATAACCATAATATCATTCTACTACTGATCATGTAGGAATATCAGACTACATTCCAAGTAGTGTATCAAATATACAAACTTAAGTGAAAACTTTGACATGGTTTTTGAATTAATTGTGCAAACGTTTCTTGTTACAAGAAAAGAAGTATCTCAACGATTATATTTCTTTAGATGCGGTTTATTTATATGAAAAAAATATTTATCTAGTTGATCGCTGAATCCAATTTTTTTTAAAAAAAATCGTAACCAAAGAAAAATAACAATTATACTAGCATTCGGGACTTGCCCTAGGATGTGATTAAAATTCATACTTTCAACCACGTTGCTTTGTTGGAAGACTTTCTTTAAGTAAAAATAAATGACTTATACAAAACAATGATTTTCAAATGCTTTGAAAAGTTAGTCCATTTTTCATCGTCTTAATTTAAACAAAACCACAAAGTTAACTCATAGAACGCATCACCATAGTATCTTTAAGAAAAACTATTCTTAATTGGATAGAACCTTATTCCATTGCATTAAGATTCAAAAAACCTCTAACCCAATAACAAGGTTAAGGAACAATTTTAATATCACATTTGGACTTTCCACATTAACTTTTTAATTCAACTCTTGATCGACCAATACGTCTCTCGATATAGACATTCTAGAAGCGTTTCGTCTACGTTTGAAAAATACGTATTTTAAACAGGGCGCGAGTAAATATATTAAAACCGCTCCAGCGATTATGGAAATAGCTAAAAGGGCCCATTGGGCAGCTTTTATAGAAACCGCAGCGTCTAAATCGGATTTGGTTAATTCGCAGTCACTTGCTAAGGAATTGGTTACGTAGAATGGTCCTTCGAGTAAAGCGTTGGGACCGCAGTTTGAAGTATTCCAACCGATCCATCCACCTGATCTATTGAATAGTACCTGCAAGGTAAAGATTGTTGGGTTCTTTAATATAGAGTAAGATAACAAGACTGCCAGACCTCACTTATTTTCTCATGTCAATATCAGATCTCAGACTGTAAGTTTGTAGTTTTTGCTTTCGACATTAAAAGTGTCTGGCAATAAATACTGCGAAAATAATGTGTCAGGCAGTATTAATTAATAGTAATAATCAGTCCCCAGACTGTAAGTAAAGTGAGTAAAATTTTTACGTGCCTGTGCCACCTGATTCGTGAAAATTGGCCGACAACACAAGTTAGCGAGTATGTATACGTTCGTTGTACACACTTATACTACTCGATAATCCATATTTCGTCCATGAGAAAATAAGTGAGGTCTGGCAGTCTTGGAATCCTGTACTAATATGCCTACATACAAAAAAAATCTATATCCCTTGGACACGCCTTAACTTGAGAACGATTTGGTGGCGACATCGACACGCCTCACATATAACCAAGATGGAGGAAGTAATTACTCGCCTCGTCAAGAGATGGCGCTACCGGCGCTACACTCATAACGTATGGAGGTCTACATCGCGCATAAGAAATTCGGAGGCTATCTCTTCATATATGCGGTGTTGGGCGAGGCGAGTAATTACTCACGTCCTCCACTACCGCGATCCCACAGGTGCGCTTTTCTTCGGCGTGGCGAAAGCAGTCGACAAAGTCTGGCATAATGGCTTAGTTTATAAACTGTACAATCTCGGGGTGCCGAACAGACTTGTGCTCGTTCGACAAGTCACGTATGAACGTGACTTGTTGTCAAATCGTTCGTTTCTCGGCTCGCCACTGTCGCCCATCCTCTACTCGGTCTTTACGAACGACATGCCCAAGAATCCTAAGATCGATCTCGCGCTTCCGTCGATGACACCGCCCTCTATACCTCCGATAGACGTCCCGGAACAGTCTGTAATGGACTTCAATCAGCCGCTACCACCCTTGGCAATTGGTTCCGCAGATGGCGTATCGAGGTTAATCCGGAAAAAAGCGTCGCGATCCTCTTTAGCACGATACCCTTGGGAGTCACGTTAGATAACTGACTAACGTTTGCACCTCATCTCAAAATAGTTCGTGATTTGCGTAGCATTCATTCGCGGTAGGCTACTCCACCTCATAGAAGCGTATTAAATGTCACTTAGGCATAAGTTGATACTTTTCAAAACATGCATCCTCCCCCTATCATGCCCTACGCGAGTGTTTGTTTCGCCCACGTTCCTCCGTCGCGTCTTAAACCATTGCAAACGCTGCAAAATCGTGTATTTTGCGGTTCCACGGGTTGCCCGTAGTATGTGCGCAATATCGATTTGCATCGCGATCTCAAGTTAGCTTCCATCGCGAAGTTTATGAAGGACGCCTGGAGACGTTATTTGATAAAGACGCGCATTATCCGAATCCCCTAGTAATTAAAGCCTCTAGTTATCACACGTGCGCCCTACCGTCCTCCAATCGTAGGTCCCTCCGATTCCGTCGGCTTAAGCACGTCTTTGAATACCCCGTCGGCGAAATCACCCGTACCAACGCGCCTCCGACTCCTCCCACACAGGCCACAAACACCAACACTACACAGCACCATACTCGCAGACATGCACACTAGCTTAGCATTAGGCAAACACCGCACCCGTAGGATAAGAGTGCGAAGACCCGGTCTACACACGACACGCTATGCCAGGTACAGGTACGTACCTGGGGGTCTACTCTCTTTCTCCGAAACGAAGTTTCGATAACGGAGTTCAAACGAAATTTAATTTCGTCAGTTTAAAGTTATACTTAATTTAAACGATAAACTATCAAATTGAAGCTTTAGGCTTAAGGCTTAGAAAATCTACACTTCAATCTATATCCCGATGACGAATATTATTATAATTAAAAACGAACCTGAAACATAGTAAGAAAAGTGCGAAGTTTCGATCGAAATTTCGTTTTTCGTTGAATTAGAGTAGGCCTCCTGGGCGTTTTTCTCCGCCCCACCGCAACAACGGCCTACTAGACCCAAGGTCCGAGTCTCAAAGACGCCCTCTAGTCGAGCCGACTCCCTCAGGTTCGAGTGGTTTAGAGGCTCAGGCGGAGAGGAGACTCCCTCCTGTGGATATGCCATCCGCCTGGAATACCTCTAGAGGCACTCTCCAATTCTCGGCTTGAGGTGCCCTTAGGATCTCGCCGTCCCCAAGCCCAGTGACGCTATAAAGGTCATCTGCGACCAACAGCTTACACACTCAAAAAAAAAGCGAGTGATTACTTCATCCATGTTGTTTATATGTGGGGCGTGTAGATGTCACCGACACAACGACTACCGATTTCTACCATCTGTTTTTTTAAGTTTTTTTTGTAGAAAACCAGTCGCGACAAATGCTCGTATTAGTCATAGAAACATTTGCCCCTACCAGGATCGGCCCTATGACCTCAGAGTATTCAGAGTAAGCAGCCCTTTGAAAACCAGTGTACATACCATTCTACAACGGACATAGCCTAGATTATCTATATATATTTAGGCTCACACAACAATGGCTACAGTAAAACTTAATGCTTAATAACAAAATTTTAACTGATTGATTAATTTGCACTAAGTGTCCCATTACGTATAGAAAGGCAAAGCATGCATTAACATTTATACTTCCTACTGCTCAACAAGTTTAAAAATCAAAAAGTTAGAAAAATAAAACAATAATAAATATATAAAACATTGCTATAAAATAAATATTAATACTAGGTATGGAACTCCAATTCAGATCAAATATCACTTTATAATAAGAGATTAACTTATTTTAGCGATTTGTTACTTATTAAAGCATTGCCACTGCTTTTAAAATTATTTAAAAAAAATATATCTAGAGTAATATTTAATAAACTGAATTTGCTATTTTGCTGCTTATTTTCCTGTATAGCCTTGTCTGTTCCCTTTAGGGGCAGCGGATTTATTTTTCTTATTCTGTATTTATTTTTTTCACTCACTAGATCATCGTGAAACTGGCCAATAGATCTTCTAAGATTGATCCGTTTAATTTGATCGGGTTCTTTGGCCAAAAACTATTTTTTCCCTGTACCCTCAAAAGAACAGCCAAGGGTATACAGGAAAATAAGTATATTGTGCTACCTACCTCGAATCCTTCCATTGCCGTATAACCAAGCACCGTATCCTTTCCACCCGCTTCTATTCCAAGTTTGTAACAATACTGCGACACAGTTCCGCCGCTGTTCTCGTGTGCCGAAACGACGCGCATATAGTTCTATGGAAGTTAGTTATAATATTACTTTACTGGTATCTTCCGAAGATGAGGTATAAATATAAAAAAAAAACACACAGAGACATCTTTATGGATCAAGAATTATTATCTAATGCCGACACATGACTTGGCTATTTGCTATTTGTGGACTTGAATACAGTCTGGCCTTCTCATGCTTTATATGGAATAAAAAAGACAGGCTGATGCCGAGTTTACAAATAGCAAACAAGAATAGCCAAGTGAAGTGCCGGCATTAAGCAAAAATTCTTGCAGCAAAGCTATATCCTGATTTAGCTGAAACGCCAATGCCCTATTTGACATTATTGTATGGGCTAAATCTAGATTTAGTTGTTCTTTTCCCCAAATCCTAGGTCCTTGTAACTAGCACAAAAGCCCTTACACAACAAAAGCAGAGTTAATAATAGACAAGCCCACACCGGACCACCGGTACCTAGACCATTTTGAACACATACTGGCGTAAATGTCAGGTACATTTGCTAATCCCGAAGGAGTCAGCCAAAAAATATTTCATCTAATCTAATTTTAGTTAAATTGAGATTTCGCAAAATCGCTGCAAGTGGACCTTAGATGATAATTATAATATGCGCTACCAAGCATCAAACCTTGCGTGATTGGATAGTTTAGCATGTTGCATTACACACTAAAGACGTATTACATATATGACTTTTCGTATTTCTATTTGTAATTTTGACTGCAGTCTCTGTTTTCGTTTCCTATAAAGCATGATGAAAGATTGCTGTCAAATGTACAATACAAATAGAAAATCAGAATAGTCATGTGAAATGCTACTGTGATGAGAATGTTAGTGGCGTCCTGCCGTCATTTTGATTAGGTGTTGTAACGTGTTAAAACACATGAGTTTTGTTTGGTTGAAGAGATAGATATAAAGCCTCTGGTTGGGTTGTCTCACTCGTTCTCCTTTGCCATAGATCGTTTACTAGCGTAAATCCATGCGTTTTTTTTTATTTTCTTTGACTTAACAAAGACTGGATGCCTTTGCTTGGCTTTTGGAAGGAAGCAAAGGAAGAAAATAACGTCACTTCACAACGTAATTTTTTACATACAAGATGTTATACTCTTAATCTAATTAATATATTGAATGATCTTAAAAGAATATCAATAATTTTTAATGGTAAGTGTTTTTCTAAATTCAAAAATTGTTTTCATTTAAATATTTCGGTAATTTAAATGTAGATTTTATTTTAGCAGAAGACAAAGTTTTCCGTGCAGATGACTGTCGGCCTGTACGTTTAATTTCTTTGATAAACGGTGAGAACCTTCAAAATTTCTTTTGTTTTGTACATTTCCTTTTGATTTTTGCCATGTGCTAATCTGCGGACTGTTTCTTTTAAGCTGTAGGGGTTTTTTTTACCATAGAAAATTTTATATTGGACCATGCAATATCCCTTTGTCATTACAAGGAAGTGCGGCTTCTATTTTTACATACATTAAACTCATAATAAAAATGCAGCGGGGACAGTAAGCGCATGTAAATTTATACTAAAAAATAATTAACCTGTTAAGAGATAATTATTCCATTATATTAAGGTAAAGATTATAAATATAAGATAATAATTGGACTTGGCTTCTAAATTCAGCAAAAATCATTGGCAAATAGTTAGAAATTTCAATATATAAAAACCCAAAGTGAGTTTGGATTTTACTTCAACCCCCCTTGCGATAAATAGTTCAATGCCCGTCCAGCGAGTTTATTGCGGTAAGTCTGGCGCCCGAGTACTTTTTTAATTTTATTTCGACCTCCATATTGCGATTAAACAATTTTTGTATTTCCCACACGAAAGATTCCCTTTTTTATTTTTTTATACAACAGTGAAAACAATTTTTTTTTATGGGGCATGTATTAAATTTATGCCGTATGTGAAGTGCTTTCTTGAAATTTAATATGAAACAAATACTTACCTGTGGTGGTATTTTCAGGGTAAAGTAAGAGCGATCATTGTCAGCATTTAGGAGGTAAATTTCTAACCATGGTAATGTCCATTGTTGCAACTCTGGCCAGCAAGCTGCCTGAAATCATTAACAGTTCCTTTATATTATTTGTGGAATAACTCTCTCACATTAATAGATAATTCTGAGTCAGTTAAGACGTAGAACTAGCGGCCGCTCACGACTTTGTCCGCATTAACTTTAGTTTTTCACACAATCTATTATTATTCCGGGATAAAAAGTGTCACAAACTATATGTGTGTACCAAATTTTTTCCAAATCCGTTGATTAGTTTTTCTGTGATTGAGTAACATACAAAATAACTTTAAAGTTTTGTTTAGGGATACAAGAAGCATGTCAGAAGATTTTTTCATAGGCTAAGTATTGGGTGGAAATAGATGGAAATAGATCATTTAATATTTACTGGTGAAACTAATGAATCCATTGCTTGAGAATCTGCATTTATGTATGTTGAACACAGTTACATAATAACAACAACTTTTGGCAAAAAAGTTGACTTAAATAAAATCCCATTAATTTTAATATTAATTGGATTAACTTACCTCTCCATGGTACCAAAAATCATCTAAAATCAGAATATTTGCTGATTGTGCTCGCTTTCGTATCATACCTACAACCTGAAAATATAAAAATTGTGGGTGATCAGTAAATACTACAATATTAATTAAATACTGACATCAGATGCCAAATTTTACTTTTGTGCTACTGTATGTAAAAGAGAACTATTACGGAAAGAACTACATTGTGTGACTGTAAAGGCTCTCTTTCTTTCACAGTATTTTAGAGTGAGAGGTTGAATAAGTAACTAGAAACACCATAGGGTGTTTTTGTAAGATAAAAACACTGCTCTTTTTAATATAGTTCAGCATTTATGATTCCTCCACAACATTTGAATTATTTATCTAAAAAATACCTTTCTGTATATTTCATCTGGAAGTCTGATATTTGTGGTTCCACTATCAACAATACTTTTCTCTGCATTCAGCAGCTGACAATCATCACTATAAGGTGCAAAGTCAATAGCCTCAATTTTTGTTTTATTTGACAAGTTTTTTGATGATGAGTCAATTTGTACAACATTCACTCCTAAAACTCCAACTTCATACCAGCGCTTATGTAGGATTGGAGTATGGAAACTCGATTTTTCTTGGCTTTTTTCGTCATCAACTGAAACATATAAATGGCTCATGTAAACATAAAACATTTCAAAGGAATTTTTCTATTTCTAATGTATATAGAATTGTCACATAAGTTTACTTATCAAAATTTAGGTATTACCTTTTTTTATTTGGTATTGTATAACCAAATTTTATTAAATTAAACTCATCCAACATGTGTAATAACATATTTACCGATCATGGAGAATTTCCCATAGTGTGTTGCATTAGTAGGACTCTGAGGTCCACACAACTGTAGTGCAAACGAAACTGGCTTGCCGATAGTGTGCTCTAGAGAATCCAACCATGATCCAACTATTACTTCATTACCCCATGCACCAACAGGTAAATATGCCAAGCCTAAAAGACCCTGTTATCAATACAAGAAAAAACTTATATTTCCAGATTTAGCTTCGATCTGTTAGCACAAAAAATTATATTTCTGTAATTTATCAGAATTTTATTACAGTTTTATTTTTATGCATTTAAATACTGGATTATTTTAAATTAGCAGTTATAAAAAAAATGTTCTATAGGTTAAGCTTGCTCTTAAATGTCAAATCTTGAGATCTGGTGGCCAGGAGAGTCCAAAGAAGGGGTCTACCTATATTTGCCACTGACCTATGCTTGATTTAAAAAACCTACTAGTGTATCTGATAAAACAGAAGCAGAGGATTAAAAAATTTTCAATACTCACTTGCCATCCTGAGCCATTCATAAAGAATTTGTGACTGTTGGTAATGACAGCAAAATCAGACCTGACTTTTGGTACTTGCTGTACAGATGGAAATTCAATAAAATCTGAGGCGAGACGACCAACCCACATACCTTGGGAATACTTGGCTTGAACCTGGAAAATTGTAATAAACAATCTCTGAGTGATTTTTAATAGTTCTAAAGCCTTTATTAAAGTCAAAGAAAAATTGAGGTTAATAAAACATTAAAAGGTAAAAGCTTATTTCATAATTACAGAAACAAAATAACAACAGCTAATAATGATTGAACTGCAATACCGCAATGGTAATTATTTACACCTAAAGGACATTGCTCGTTCCCCATACATTGAATGCCCTAGAACGCCCAGCAATGAGAAAATGCTAGATGTGTTCGGAATCATTCATAAACTCTAAATAAGCATTTGTTGAGATACGGACAACTTGAGGAACCGTGGCATAGTACAGAATGTATTAGATTTTGAGGTTATAATTATTATACTTAATCATAAAAGATGTACACTTTATATATTCTGAATAGATTTAGTGTTTACCCCTATGTAAGCACTTAAATAATATGCATTAAATGAACATAAAATGCAATTTATAATAAAAATAATAAATGCTTATATTCATATTGATTTTACCTGTAGTAAGTAATGATAGATTTCTTTTCAAATGAAATGTTCAGTCTTTCCATTTACCTGTTTCTATATTTTACTAACGGTAATTAGGTATGTACCTGGTTATCATTATGATTTTCATAAAAATAAACAGATATTACATGGGATGGGAGTATAAACTATCTTTAGATAATTTCAGAAATAATCTTTTTATAAATATAATATAAATACTAGTAATTAGTATTATTAACTAAGGTTATATGTTGCAACTTTTATGTTGATAAATACCTATGGTCGCCTATATTGCAAAACTAAGATAAACAATCTTGGCACAACTTTTTAACAGAATCACCCATTTAATATTAAAATATTAACGAAGAAAATAAACTATTAAAATAAATCGTTATTATATACTGAAACCTATTGAATCCAGTTATCAGTTGATTTTTAATGCTGTATTTTCAATAAAAAGGAGTGCCAAGTTGGATGAACAGACTGTAGTATCTAGTAACAGAACTTTTATTTTTTAAACAGATTGTCCGTTTACTATGATTAATTGCTAATAAGTTAAAAAAATAATAGAAAAATAATAGTGAAGGACATTCTTTTGGGCATGCTAGGGCCGAATTCGTCGATGTCCTTTCATATTCTATATAAATGAAGTTCAGGTAAAAGCTACCTATACTTTTGCTTTTAGTATTTTTTATTGTAACAAAACAATGTTTAAACATTTTATTCATTGAGTATAAGTACCTACATGAAATTTAACCAAATTTCTGTTGTAGTTGTGGTCGAAATTCGTTGGCCTACCTTCAGCAGGACTGAAATTTGTTGCAACACTAGTAATTATACATTAATCAGTACAATACTTACTCAAATTATGAACTCAACTCAGCGACCTATTTCCAAGAGATCCTTTTCTTTTTCATTAGATCTACTCCCAGAGAGGATCCAAATATATTTCAATAATGACATTGACAAATAAACAAATGGAAAATGTGTGTATGCTTGTGAAAATAGTATATGCACACTATGAACACATTATCTAATGTTAAAACATAGACCTGTTGAATATTTGAGTATACCTTCTTCAAAAACATGATCTGTTCTAATGAAGTAATTACTATGAGAAGCACCCAAACTTACAGTATGCATGGAATAGGCAAAATATTATGGAAGGGAATGAGGTGTGTCGTAACTAACATTAACTATGTGTGGTAAACTTACTTCTTTACCGCTATCATGAAGACTAGTAGAATTAACTGCATGGAAATACTTGTCACTATCATGGCGCGGATAGGAAGCCACAGCAAGAGTGGTACTGCCTGTGTCTACTATAACACTGAGCTGAAAAAACACAGGCTTTAATACAAAATGTCTTTATTGAAGTGCCTACTACTATTCTTAAGTACAAACAACCGATATGTTTACCTGTTGTTTGGGTGTCCCCAAATAGATCTCCAATGAATAAGCTTGCCCAGCTTCACCATATAAATTATATTCTTCGCCATTAGTTAAAGTAAGCAACATAATCACACAGAAATGGCATTGATGGCGTAACATTTTTAACTTAGTATTTAAAGAAAAATCAATTTGCATTTTTCAAAGCCTTTTGAAATTATTTAGTTTTTATTTTTTTAAGGTTCGCCCCTTTTATAGGGACGACGAAGGGAACAATGCTCATACAGCCGTTGAGCATGCTTTTTTGTACACTAGAATGTCGGTGTGACGCATTCTAATGTTTCTTGGAGTGTTTCGCACGAAATGTATCGAGTTAGCTTTTTCGATAAGCTTCTGTGAGGTAATCAACACTATATACAATGAAGTTCTCACGTCCACTTGACCGGAATAGCGCATATTTTAAAGATTCCACTAATAGGCTAGTTGACCCTTTTTGGAAAAAGGTTTTAAATGGTTATTAAATGTTCTATTAGACCGAAAAAAAATGTATTGTATTTTTTTTAAACCTAGAAAGCTACAAATCTTTAATTTTAAAATAGACTTTTCATGGACATACAAAAACGCTGTCGGCCATTTTAGTCTATAGATTATCTATGATAAGACGTGAACTGTGGTAAACAAAAACTCGTAAACACATAGAAAATTACTTTTAACTGAGTTTATAATAAAAAAAAAACATGATTTCTAATAAATACCACGAAAACTAAAGTAATTATCATTACTGTATTGTACGAGAATATAAAAACACATCCTTGAAGACTCTAGGAAAGTGGATTAAAGTGCCGAAAGAATTTAACCTACGCAACTTTATTACATTTATTCATATGTTGTATCAGTTTTATGTTTATTACTACATTGTAATACTAAATGCACTGTACTTACATAGATGCCTTGTCGTTTCTCTGCTCCGCAGAGCAGAAATCGGGGTTTAGTGCAACAAATTCACCAACCATCAATGCGTCAATTCTTGGCAGATTTGTGCTTTCTGGTTTCACAAAGCCGGCATCCATAATAGGCTAGTTTACTCATGTCGAATTGTATTAAATAAATGTTTATTTCTTAAAGTATTTAGTCTAAGGAACCTTAATATATCGATTTCACTTCATAAAAGCAGAAGATTGCTGTAGAAATTTAATTTAAAAAAATATTTTTTAGTCTATATTTTTTAAACACTAAAAACGCTGTTCGCCACATCCGCCATGATTTTGACGTCTCTTGTGGTAAACAACTAAATGTCAACTGTAGGTGGATTCTTTCGTCTGACTAAATTTATCATAAAACACTTTTAACTTTAGGAAAGAAAAAAACAGTAAACTTAGTTTTTTTTGACAAAACTAATTATGGATCCCGGCTTTGTGAAAGCAGAAAGCACAAATCTGCCAAGAATTGACGCATTGATGGTTGGTGAATTTGTTGCACTAAAAGACACGAAAAAACGACGAAAGAAACGACAAGGCATCTATGTAAGTACAATGCATTTAGTATTACAATATAGTAATAAACATAAAACTGATACAACATATGAATAAGTGTAATAAAGTTGCGTAGGTTAATTTCTTTCGGCACTTTAATCCACAACTTTCCTGGAGTCTTCAAGGATGTGTTTTTATATTCTCGTACAATACAGTAATGATAATTACTTTATTTTTCGTGGTATTTATTAGAAATCATGTTTTTTTTATTATAAACTCAGTTAAAAGTAATTTTCTACGTGTTTACGAGTTTTTGTTTACCACAGTTCACGTCATAGCATAGATAATCTATAGACTAAAATGGCCGACAGCGTTTTTGTATGTCCATGAAAAGTCAATATTAAAATTAAAGATTTGTAGCTTTCTAGGTTTAAAAAAAATACAATACATTTTTTTTCGGTCTAATAGAACATTAATTAACCATTTAAAACCTTTTTCCAAAAAGGGTCAACTAGCCTATTAATTTTGTCAATGTTTTTTTCTTTCCTAAAGTTAAAAGTGTTTTAAGATAAAAGTCAGACGATAGAATCCACCTACAGTAACACGCGAATGACATTTAGTTGTTTACCACAAGAGACGTCAAAATCATGGCGGATGTGGCGAACAGCGGTTTTAGTGTTTAAAAAATATAGACTAAAAAATATTTTTTAAAATTAAATTTCTACAGCAATCTTCTGCTTTTATGAAGTGAAATCGATATATTAAGGTTCCTTAGACAAAATAATTTAAGAAATAAACATTTATTTAATATAATTCGACATGAGTAAACTAGCCTATTCTTCACTTGCGCAGACGGTTGTAACACAAAATCACACCAGTTTTATTTCACAATATCCATTATGATCAAATTTAAGGGATATACTGTACTTCCAGGGCCCAAAAGTAAAAACTTCAGTTTTGTTGGTTGTAATTTCGCATTTTTGTTGTTAAAAAGGTTTCTGTTAACCACATTATTAAAAAAAATGTCACACTTATGCACTGGTAGTTTTTTAGAAAAAAATATTGAAAATTTTTACTTTTCTTATCAAGTGGTGATACTTCACACTAGGTTAGGTTAGGTTAGTGTTGTGACCGTAACGCGCGAGCCGAGCGAGCAAAGCGAGCGTGCCGCGGCCGCTGCCGGCGAAGCGCCACAAAAAAAAATCTGTTAAAAAGACCTCTTCTACAAAAATAAACAAGTATCACCTTTTGGGCCCTGGAAGTACAGTTTTACCAATTTAAGAATAAATAAAATAAGACGCTAACCGCACTCGATGAAATCCCGCCAAACAAAACCTCATTAACTAAAAGGTCTAAAGATAATTTCGTTTTTGAGAATTGAGCTCACAGACTGAGAATCAGTTTCAGTTAAACTCATTGAATTTTTTTAACATTGTCTCGTTTTAAGGAAGGTAAAGGGAACGATGCCCATACAACGCACATAGGAGTATTTAACCCAAAAAGTCGATTATAAGTCGAATATTGCAAATTACCGATATGCAGGTAGTTTCCGCTCCTTGGAAAGCGGAAAGGGTCGTTCGACAATGTACCGTTATCTCTCTTTTGTTCTCACTAACATTCGGTGCACAGTCAGTCGTCGTTGTAACGAAAGTCTGATTGTACGTCTTTAATGCGCAGTGAGAGTGAGTCAACTAAGTTGTTAAAAATTAATTTTACATTTAGTTTAATTGGGATAAAGCAAGTTTTAGTTATGGACGTTGTAGAACAAGGTATGTAAAACTAAAATTATGTATTTTTTTTAAATATATATCAATAATTAATCATTTACGCTATTTTTTGTTGTATACATTAAATTATAAGTAAATTTTAGCATTACCTAATATTTCAAAGACTTTTTGGTATATTTCCGAGCTTTTCCAGGGTCAAATTCTTTTATTATCTTGTAGTTACATATCTATTATAAGAATTTAAAAAGAAATTAGCTGCCAAAATGTGCCAAAATATTACCATTTTGTAAATAGAGTGCATGTGACATTTACCAAAACAAACTTTATTTTGCGGTCACTTATGTTAATTTGAGATTTCTTTTATGGTAGGATCTTCTGGTATTAAGATCGTGACAAGAGAATATGTCTTTCGAAAAGCGAGAGAATATTGTGAACCAGATCTTGGAAAAAACTTAGAATTATTCGAGTTTGAAATAATTAATGACTCTTTATTTCCCATTGATCAAAAAGCAAAGTTTAGACATACATTTTCTTGTCTCAAGTCTGAAATGAAGTCTAAATGGCAGACAGAGCAAAGCGAACAGAAAGTGTGTTTTTGAAAAAATACCATGATTGGTTACAAGGTACTCTTGAAATACCGAAAAATACAATTCATAGATAAAAATACCACGTGGGGTGGCCAAGCAAAGAGTTCAAAGAATTAACGGACGAACGTAAGCGTCGAAAGACATCACATTTAAGAAACATAAATGAAGCAGAATCTTTAATTTATGCAGGTCAAATGGCGCTTCGTGAGAAAGGAAACGTGGATGGTGCTTATGTGATAAAAGATATTATGGCATCCCCAACACGTGGTCATAAATACCGTGAAGCGTTCAAAAAAAGCACCACACCTGAATTAAAAATGAAGCAACTATCACCAACAGAGGCTTTGTCTATGTTTGTGGAAGCTTCATTGACAAGAAAGCAGTACGAAATAATTAGAACAAATGCTAAAAAACTATACCCGTGCTACTCGATTTTACAGAAAGCAAAAAAAGATTGCTAGGTATCCAAATGCCGAGTCTTATTTAGTCACTGAAACCTGTGCAGAAATTAAATTACAAGCATTGTTAAATCACACTGTTCAGCGTTTTGTATTATACCTTGAAGAAGTGTTAAAAACTTTAACGGAAGAAGAGTTAGTGAACATAGAGCTGACATATAAATGGGGGTGTGATGGCTCGCAGCAGGCCCAATATAAACAAAAATTTGCTAATAACAGTGACTCTGACGCAAATATTTTCCAGTCATCGCTTGTGCCATTACAGTTGATAAGTAAGAGCAGTAAAAAAATAATTTGGAACAATCCATCACCTTCTTCTCCGCGTTACTGTCGACCAATGCGGATCAGATTTATACACGAGACTAAAGACGTAACAAACGATGAGATAAATTACCACAAAGAACAAATTAAACAGTTAACGGGGACAAAGATAACTTTCGGGTCTTACGAAATAACAGTTACCCATAACTTGCTATTTACCATGGTAGATGGCAAAGTATGCAACTCGGCAACAAACACAACCTCTGCAATGAGATGCTACATTTGCAAAGCCACATCTAAGGATTTTAATAAACTTGAAAAGTTTATCGAAAGCGAAACAACAGAGCTACAAAATTTGGAGTTTGGCTTATCTGTCCTACATGCTCGCATCAGATTTTTCGAGACATTACTACACATTTCTTACAAACTACCTATAAAGAAATGGCAAGTGAGAACACAGGCCGAAAAAGCTATAATTAGAGTGAGAAAGGCAAACATCCAAGAAGCATCCAAAAATGAACTTGGCTTAATAGTTGACCTACCTAAAGCCAATTTCGGAAACACTAATGACGGCAACACCAGTAGAAGATTTTTTAATAATATAGAAATATCAGCCAATATCACTGGTATCGATAAAACTTTAATAGAAAGATTTGCAATCATTTTAGAAGTGATATCAAGTGGATATAAAATAAATATTGAAAAATTTGACACCTATTGTCAAGACACTGCTAAGATGTACGTAGAATTATACTTTTGGTATCCTATGACAACAACAGTGCATAAAATATTAATTCATGGTCCTTCAGTTATAAGACATGCCATACTACCAATAGGGACCCTATCTGAAGAAGCCGCAGAGGCTCGTAATAAACATTTTAGGAAATTCAGGGAACAATATTCCAGAAAATTTAGCAGAACTGAATGCAACATGGATGTGTTAAATAGATTATTATTAACTTCGGACCCATACTTGACCAGTATTAGACCCAAAGTGTCTAAAAAATCAAAACCTCTTAAACCAGAAAGTAGAGAAATGTTAATGCCCTTTGAAGTTGATAAGGATGAAGATGATTTTAATTAATATTTGTAAATTATTTATAAGAAATATAAATGGTGACAAAACATTGTTTACACTCATTTCAAATTCCTACTTGAAAAACTAGCATAAATATTTTTTTTTAAATGTTCTTGATTACATGATTATGACAACAAATAAATTTTAGCCAATAAATAATTTTGATCGACTTTTTTGATCAAATACTCCTATGTGCAACGTAATCCTCAATGTTATTTGTTCTTCTTTTTTTACTAATGTGAAAAAAAACTACGTCAGATTACGTCACACCCACATTCTAATGAATGTGAGTGTGACGTAGACTAATGTTTCTAGAAGTGTTTGATACGAAATGTATCGAGTCAGTTTTCTCGATAAGCAACACTACTACTGTACAACACTACTAACTATCGTGGCAAATCAGAATAAGTTTCTAGAATCCGTGTAACATGTTTGCATGAAGTTTATATTTATAGGTATAATTTTATATCGAGTACATACAAGACGTCGACTTCTACAAATTAAGTTATTATATTAAAAACAAAAGAAAAAGGTGTAGACATAAAAAAAAATCAAAATCGTTTATTCAGTCTAGGCTGTTACAAGCACTTGTGAATGTCAAAAAGCTACGCCATCGGTTCGTAAATCTACGGCGGGAGACCTTGTACTGAGAATACCGGCAAGAAACTCAGCAAGGGCTGTTTTTTTCTCCCTGTATTATATACAGAGTCGTCAAATTGAAAAATGACTTCAATATGAGGTAACTCATATATAAGTGAGGTCACTTTCCATTACAAACAAAAAAAAAATGCATGTGATTACCCAAACACTGTTGTCGATTCTGGCACTACTCTCCCAACCCAAAACCAAATCCAACATCAGTCCCCCCTTTTCAGTCTGTATAGAGAATGACAAGGATACACCGCTGCAAAACCAAGTTCAGGTCTAGAAAACCATACCAGAATCCACACCGCCATTAAATCTTTATCAGAGAAATAATAAATGTTCACTTACATTTTTATTGCTGTGTCATACAGTATAAATACAAGTTGTGTAATGTAAAATAGAATCTAAATTTAATAATAATTATCATTACAGTGGTGTCGATTCTGGCAGGATTCTCTAAACTTAAAACTAAATTTGACATCAGTCTGTCCTTTTCAGTCTGTATAGAGAATGACAGAGATACACTGGTGTCGATTCTGGTATGATTCTCTAAAGCTAAACTTAAATTTGACAATAGTGAATCCCTGTCATTCTCTATACGGAATGAGAAGGACAGGCTAATGTTAAATTTAGTTTTAAGTTTAGAGAATCCTGTCAGAATCGACACCACTGTTGTCAAATTTAAGTTTAGCTTTAGAGAATCATACCAGAATCGACACCAATAATAAAGTAAAGTAAATAATAAGCTAGGCCGCGTACTTAGCCCTCACGCTCGGGCCTACCTGCGCACGTCTGCGGGGTCCCCGCAATACCTCGGGAGACCCCTGCCGTGGAGCCCCGGCGAGGCCGGGAAGCTGCTGGGTGCGGGGATGCGGAGACATCCCACCAAGAGGATCCCGCGGCCAAGGCACCGCCGTCTGTAAAAATATTTTTTACCTGCGTAATAAAAATAAAAAAAGGTCCTGCCTTGCGTGTAGTGTTGCTCGCACCTCTGGGATTGCTCCGCCAAGTAATTATTGCTCGAACCTTTGGATAGGTTACCGCGGCACGTGATCCGCATCAAAGACGATGAGGAGGTGACTAAACACCTCGAGACGCCGTGACGTGGCGTCACTAAGCGCGTTCTATCTGGTGAGGCAGGTAGAACTGCTGTATCATCCATCTTAGCGTCTGGACTTCAACTTTACTTAAGAGATTTGGTGTCTCTTTTACTTGTCGCACTATCCGTAAATTGATATATAGATTAGTCACTCAATTGATTAATAGATCTCACAGTTTTTATAACTAAACCGTACTGAAGCCAGGCATGTGCATATCTATAGTAAGCGCTTAATGCAATCTCTTTGTTATTGCCACCTTAGCACATATTCCCTATTTTAAATATCCTTTCTTAATAAAACTCATGGTCAACATAAAAACCTAGTTTTTATTTTTATTTATTGATCAATCAGATATCACAAACAACAAAGAACACTAAAAAATTACTTTTTTTTCTTTTATTTCAAATGCTATGTTATTTAGGAAAAAATAATTCTCATGATTATTCCTTTCGACGGTTATCATTAATTATGTGTGTTTTTTTGTTTCACATTCCACAAATTTGATTGCCGGTTGTGGCAGACGATCAAAAAAAATGTGAATGCAGTTCTGCATACTAATAAAAAATAAAATGATGTCTCCTTCCAGTAAAATTGGCTATCTTCAATATTCAATAATAAATTTCCGTGTGGCATTACCGTGGACCTGTATAGTAGCACGGTAATAATATCATACAGTATTCTATCTTCATACAAACGGTCGGAAAGCGAGTCATACCTACGCCACTCGAGTTCGATGTGCTCTCGGCGTGCACCCAGTCGCGAATGCGCCGCCGCGCCGCAACGACGAGCGAACCGGTCTGAATTGTTTTTATGCAGTTAGCCGTGCTTAAACATGCGTTTTGTATTGTAAATATTTTATTTAATTAAGTAGATACCTACATAATTTAGTATGGAAAAGAACAAACGACGATCAATATCGTACAACAGCACAATTGCTGTTTTTGGTTGCTTACCAAACACACCCAGAGATATCATTTTTTAAATTACCTGAAATATGGGAAAGGTGTCTTACCTTTATAGAATATTTTTTATACACCTATCTACTAGTACGTTATTTGTTTCTAATATTTAGGTATTTCGGTTTTTCCATCGGGAAAAATATCTGGAATAATATATAAATAAGTGGTTAGGATGAAAAAAGAGACAAACGAGTAATCTACCTACACTCGCGTTAAAAACAAAACTACATAAAATACTGTAGGCTGGCGGCCCTACCGCGTGCCAACACAGCGCTCGGTGTAGGCATTTATTTTCAAGGACAGGGCGGAGTCACAATACTGTATAGATAATATTACCGTGATAGTAGGTAGATGCGTAAGCATCTAATAGTCTGTGGTAGGTAGGTACTGGAGTCAATCTATATAACTACGTTGTTGCGGTACCAATACTGAATACTCGGTAATGAAGAAGATAGTGCTGTATGATATAAATATCCTTCGCTAGTATTTCCAATGGAAAAAAACATGGAGTTTTTGGCGGGATTTTATCGAGTGCGGTAGGCATCTTAATTTAATTATTATTAAATTGGTTCATGGTGGATATTGTGAAATAAAATTGGTGTGATTTTGTGTTAACACCGTCTGCGCAACCGAAGAATAGGCTAGTTGACCCTTTTTGGAAAAAAGTTTTAAATGGTTAATAAATGTTCTATTAGACCGAAAACAAATGTATTGTATTGTTTTTAAACATAGAAAGCTACAAATCTTTAATTTTAAAATAGACTTTTCATGGACATACAAAAACGCTGTCGGCCATTTTAGTCTATAGATTATCTATGCTATGACGTTGCTTGACGGTACAACAAAAACTCGTAAGCACGTAGAAAATAACCTATCTGAGTTTTTAATAAAAAAAAAAACATGATTTCTAATAGATACCACAAAAAATATAGTAATTATCATTATTGTATTGTACGAGAATGTAAAAACACATCCTTGAAGACTCCGCGAAAGTTGTGTGGTTGTGTTGTGTGCCGAAAGAAATTAACCTACGCAATACCTGGTTAGAACTTGCTAAAAGTGATCCTGTAACTTTATCGACTCATAGTAAAATTTATTTTTGCGAAGATCACTTTGATGTAAGTACTCATTGAATAATATTTTATGTCTTCATTTATTATCAGTTTTAATAATACAAGTTTTAAAGTTATGTATGAATGACATTTAGTTGTTTACTAAAAGAGACGTCACAATCATGGCGGATGTGGCGAACAGCGTTTTTAGTGTTTAAAAAGTATAGACTAAAAATTATTTTTTTAAATTAAATTTCTACAGCAACCTTCTGCTTTTATGAAGTGAAATCGATATATTTAGGTTCCTTAGACCAAATACTTAGAAATAAACATTTATTTAATACTATTCGACATGAGTCAACTAGCCTCTTTAAAATAATATACGCTATTCCGGTCAAGTGGACGTGAGAACTTTATTGTAGTGTTGTCTACCTCACAGAAGCTTATCGAAAAAGCCAGCTCGATACATTTCGTGCCATTCACTTTAAGAAACATTAGAATGCGTCACACCGACATTCTAATGTTAAAATAAAAAAAAAGATTAATGTAACTAAAGGCTAGGCTGTATGGGCATTGTTCCCTTTGCCTTTCTTATAACGGGAGAAACTTGAAAAAAAATACATTTTTCCAAAATAAACCGCGTAAACCGCGCAATCTTCGCGCTTCAAGTAATAAATAAATTGGTTAAATTTACGCTTCAACTTCCTTAAAATGAGTTTGTGGGTCGATAAGCATCGTCCAAAGGATCTAATGAAATTAGATTACCACAAAGAACAGGCCGGGCGGTTGAAAAATCTAGTGCAACAAAGTGACTTCCCTCATCTGCTTGTTTACGGTCCGTCTGGTGCCGGTAAAAAAACTCGAATAATGTGTTTGTTGCGAGAATTATATGGGTCAGGTGTGGAACGGCTCAGACAAGAGACAATGAATTTCACCACTCCTTCAAATAAAAAAATTGAAATAATGACTGTGAGTAGCAACTATCATATTGAGGTTAATCCGACCGACGTTGGTATACACGACCGTGTTGTTATCATGGATTTAGTGAAAAACGTAGCTCAAACACATCAAATTGACTCATCAGGACAAAGAGAATTCAAAGTTGTTATCTTAAACGAAGTAGATGATCTTACGAAAGACGCTCAACACGCTTTACGACGCACAATGGAAAAATATGTAGCAACTTGTCGTTTAATTTTAATAGCCAATTCAATATCTAGAGTTATTCCTGCTATAAGGTCGCGTTGTTTGACCATTCGTGTTCCCGCTCCAACAGAAAACGAGATTGCATCTGTTCTTCATGTAGTTTGTAAGAAAGAAGGCTTGAATTTACCATCTGAATTAGCGATGCGAATAGCAAAATGCTCAGGCAGGAATTTGCGGCGTGCTCTTTTAATGTGTGAAGCTTGTAAAGTTCAACAATATCCATTTACATCTGATCAGAAAGTACCAGAGCCTGATTGGCAGTTGTTTATCAAAGAGACAGCTTCTATGATATTGTCAGAGCAATCTCCCAAGAAACTTGGTGAGGTAAGGCAGAAATTGTATGAACTAATTATTCATGGGGTGCCTCCAGATGTAGTCTTTTCTGGTTTATTATGTGAGCTGGTCAAGAACTGTGATATGGCAATGAAATGCCAAGTAGCCAGTCATGCAGCCACATATGAACACAGAATGAGGCTTGGAAATAAAGCTATCTTTCATTTAGAAGCATTTGTTGCAAAATTCATGGCCATTTACAAAAAGTTTATGGAAGAATCACTTGGTGATGTCTTTTGAAATGCAAAGGCACATTCAGAGTTAGTATTTTTAATATTTTTGTATTTCTTTTAACCTGTATTAAAGATTTCAGAAGCTTAAAAGACCTGATTCATGCACAATACTTTAAATTTAAAAAGGCAGTCCCTCATTTCTAGTTTCTATATAACATGTATAAGATTAAACTACTGATAAATTTGTTATTTTTTAATTCATATAAATTTAATTTTAATGTTAAGACATTCATGCCAGAGTAGGGGCTGCTATCTTCACGCTGGCCTCATCAGTTATTGTTGTAACAACTTTGTTGACTATTACTTAATTACCAATTCTATTTCATTACCTACCACATTGTTATTCAATAAAAATAATTTGCTGTATGCCTTTTAATTTAATGGATTAATTTCAACATCACTGACACAAATCCACCAAATCTGCAAACTGTGAAATAGACTCTATCATGTATTACCAACAATGAATAAGAATAATTACAGTTTTTTGCTTCTGAGCATAACAGTTAGCACATGTTGAATATTTGATTGTTCTGATGTCTACTTAAACTTTTCTAAATTCCAGGTTAACAATAACAAATCCCAAGCTAAGTAGACTGTAGACTTATTCAGGACTTTGTCACTATAATGTCCTTTACATCCAAATCTAAAGTCTAAATCTGTATTTGATATAAAATAAAAGTACTGTGTGCTCCGCCAATGTGTTGAATTTTTCATTAATTTTCAGGGACAACTCAAAAATAAACCCTTATCAGGCTTGGCCCTAAAGCACCATATAAACAATGCTAGTTTTTCCCTGTTGCATACAATTAAGGGCCTTATTCATTATCCATCTCGTTGGATCCAGCATGCGGGGACAGCGATATACACATAAAAGAGATCCTGTATCTCCATCTCTTTTATGTGTATAGCGCTGTCCCGCATGCTGGATCCAGCAAGATGGATAATGAATAAGGTCCTTTACATTGAAGCAATAAATGACTTGCATGGTCTAAACAGTACATAACATTGTTGATCAAGTTTTGTTTCAAAACTTTTCTTAGTGTAAACAGCTCGTATGAAAATTTCTTAAGCAATTCTTGTATCGTATTGTTACAAGTAGTAGTAGTAGTAAGTGATGGTGTGTTAATCATTGCTGTCCTTCTGAGCCAAGAAATATTGAGAAAATGTTGCAAAAAAGTATTCATATTTAATGAATACTTTTTTAAATTCAAAAAAAGTTTGGACTTGTAAACATTATCAGTACCGGAACGGTACCCATGGTTGCTTTTTCCTATCCCCATGATCTGCATCCTAAAAATTTTATTGGAACAAAGTTCCATTTCGGTCTGCACTAGGCTCAGTGCGGATTGGTGAGTAGGATACCTTATTTATGGAATATGAAGATTGAGATATGACTCGCCACGCGGGCCCAGTGTGGATTGGTGGGTTTTATAGACAATTTTTTATTACACTATTGTAAGAGCTAGTTTGTACTCTATTTACAGGGACAAACATAGTGTTTTAATCCCTAGGGACCAAAATAGTGTTTTGATTCCAAGCGATTAAGATAGCGTTTTAATCACAAAAAAAGAAGAAAAAATACAACCGCGCGAAATATATTTCGCCGTCGTTCATCTGTTTATTGGGTAGGTACTCAACTTCGGAATTATTAAAAAAATAATGTCTTCTTCACAAATTGCTGTAGTGCAGCATTACGTGCATCACGATTCTTGTAATTCACACTTTCAGTGTCCCATAAACACTCATGATTACGATATATTTCAATGAACTTAATTAAAAAAGACAACTGTCACTGACAGACTGTTCTATCAATGCACAGCTCTAAATACACGAAATTTGGCACACATAGCTATTATAATGTAAAAGCTCAACAACTAAAGGAATAAACAGGGGTTCAAAGTTTGTATGAGAAACCAATATTTCCTTTCTTCAGTGTTAACTTAAGTTTTTGAGAATCCCACAGGAACCTAAAATTTTTCCGGAATAAAAAGTATCTCAATCTAGTTTATAAACTATATGCGTACCAAATTTTATCCAAATCTGTTCAGTAGTTTTTGCGAGATTGAGTAACAAACATACAAACTTATAAACTTTCACATTAATAGTATCAATAGAATCAGTCCTCAAACGATTTATGGTTTGAAGGTTTGCTGGATATGTATAGATTAGTAAAAGACATTGCCAGTATTAATTAATTATATTCATAATAATACCTTACAGGCACCTTACTTGCAAATAGTCTAAAATTATCAACTACAGTATGCATTAATGCGGTAGTTATTTCATTAGCCAAGTGATCCAGGACAGATTGTTTTTGTTGTAGTATCGTGTCTATTGTAAACGTGTCTTCAGTATCTGAAACAAACAAAGTCTAGGTTAGATATAAAAAAATACATTCAAAAATTTAAGTTTTTTGGTCATACAGCTCTTAATTTATTTTTTATTTTCCTAGAAATAAGGCCATCATTAAACGCTGTTTGTTTGGGCTACGGTTGGAAACGCGACAACAACTGAGTTTCTTGAATTATCATAAAGATACCTGTGTATGACTGATTTATGCCACTTACAACAAGATTAAATGGGTTATTGTATTACAAGTTTTTTTACAAATTAAAAATATTTTTGCTCTCAACAAAAATATGCGAATGCCCTTACCGGGATTCGAAATCAAAATCTTTAGAGTAGAAGGTCTAGCGCCGCTGCAGTTGTACCATCTGATCGTTGAGGTAGGTCGTAAAGTTAAAATGTTCTCCTAAGAAAAGTATTTATCACTTTACAAATACTGCGCTAGCTATAGCTAGACAAATAAATAATAAAAATATTCTTAAATAAAACAAGTTTCAACGGGTTAGATGCACTGATTTTATTTATTTATTGAGGTTTCGCAGCTTTTGCAGGAATACGTCGTCAGAATGAAAGAACAATATAATATATTTCGCGCGTTTATATTTTTTCTGACGACGCATTTTTGCAAAGGTTGTAAATAAATAAAATCAGTGTATCTAACCTGTTGAAACTTGTTTTATTTAATAAGTGATAAGTGAAAAGCTAAGAAACAAATAAATAATATTCTTTATTGATATTCACCTCAAAGGACATAAGTACAACAGTGAATGACAACATGACAGTGAAAATGTACACAATAGGCGACATTATTCCTAAAGAGCAATCTCCTCCAGGCAACCCATGACAATGAAATAAATAAATAAGAGGAACAAGAAAGGGGTGTAACAGGTATGGTTAAAACAAATTATCATCACACTAATATTATAAAATAGAAAGTTTGTGAGTGTTTGAGTATGTGAGTGTGTATGTTTGTTACTTCTTCACATCTAAAAGGCTGGAGCGATTTTAATTTGCAACAATTCAACATGTTATAATAAACATTTTGATTTCTAAAGTAGTTTATCATGTGGGTAACGCCACTCCCAAGAGAGTCATGTAAAATTTATCGACCTGTGTCGCAAACTTTAGCAACAATTCTCAATCTCCGAAGAAAAAGTACTTGCCTGTCCCGTCTTTCCCAGAAGGCGCACAGCGGGGGAAAAATTCAGGTGATTCGATTCACCAAGAATTTTGAAGAATCGATCGAGTAGAAAAAAATCGTTAATAAAAATGTTCGTTTTTGGACGATTTAATTTTTTTTTAAAAATTGACGTAGAATATTTTTTTTTAAACTAATGTATTTTTCTCTCCTCAACTCGAATATACTATTCTGAATATATATATATATATATATTATATATATAATACTAATATACCCTGAGAATTCCGATTATGAACCGGAAGAAAAAAGGACGAAATTAATTTAATTAGAAATATAGAATACAACGCAGTCTTGTAATCGAATTTTAGTTAATAGTTTTGTAAATAATATCTGTACATAAATAAACTGATTTTTTTAAATTTTCAATCGTATATTCGAGTTGAGGAGAGAAAAATACATTAGTTTAAAAAAAAGCGACCAACTTCATGCTGTTAAAATTTTGTGTTACAGTGATGCGCGCGCATCTTAAAATTTCACTCTCATCATTTTTTCATAACGCGCCTAAAGAAGTATAACTTCAAAAAATTTTCTACGTCAATTTTTCAAAAAAAATTAAATCGTCCAAAAACGAACATTTTTACTAACGATTTTTTTCTACTCGATCGATTCCTCAAAATTCTTGGTGAATCGAATCACCTGAATTTTTTTCCCCGCTGTGCGCCTTCTGGGAAAGAGGGGACAGGCAAGTACTTTTTTTTCGGAGATTGAGAATTGTTGCTAAAGTTTGCGACACAGGTCGATAAATTTTACATGACTCTCTTGGGAGTGGCGTTACCCACATGATAAACTACTTTAGAAATCAAAATGTTTATTATAACATGTTGAATTGTTGCAAACGTAAAACCGACATAATTGCAATTTACTGCTAAACTAACAATCTCACGTTATTTTTTCATAGAACTGATTTTGTAGAGGGCAAGCTAATGAACAACTTTGATTCAAAAAAATTTTCAAAATCCCCGTTTACAAGCAAATAACTCAAAAAAACCGGTTTTTCTTTGTTTAAACAATTTTCCTGGCTACAAAACACGGGTTCTAGCGGGGACAAATGGAGGGCATATTCGTGGGGGTCTATACTATCTAGGAAAAAATTGGCTAAGCGCTGGTGTCTTAGAATAGGTCTCATGTTTATTCCGACTGGACTACGAGGGTAACACTGCGGGGCACAGCTAGTGAATAATAAATGCGATTGATATATCCAAAAAGAGAGACAACAGAGAGGTATGATTCAAAGTTGGGAAAGGAAATAACCTCTAACTTGATTACTAAACGAGGTTAGAGTACGAGCCTTTCTGATTGTTTCGGGTAGTGGGTTCCTTAATTTAAGTGAACTGAATGCAACAAAGAATGAATATGAAAAGAAATCATTTGAATGGAGTGGGACTGCATGTGCGTTCTGTTTTAGAATCAAGAAAAGAGAAACATTCTTTTAAATATGATGGAGAAGAAGGAAAGAAAAGTACTCAAACAAACACTATGATTCTACAATATTTAATATATTTGCCCTGCGTGTGGTATGGCCGTGGGCCTATTATTCCTTGCTGCATCTATATCTGCATAATTATAATGATTTGTTCGCAATACAAACTCCGATGGCATATATCACCTTAAACTTTTGTTACTGCAAAAAATAGTCGTGAGTGTATATTTGTTGATTCAAAGTCCTTTTTATTTTCAAACCAAAATTCATCAAAACCTGTTGAGCAGCTTAGACGTGAAAGGATGCTAGATAGACAATCGGACAGACGTACATCGCACTCAAAACAATAATAGCAGCATCCAAGGATAAATAAGTAGGTACAAGTATGCTTCGGCGATTGTAATATATTATTTATTTGTGCGCGCTTAAAAGATTTTTGAATTAATTCCTGACGTCTCGATTCATTTTCGTCCCGTGCGAATTTTACCTACCTACTTACAATTATTTTTATCAAGGAAAAAGTTGGCACCTCCTTTGTAAATTGTACTATACGACGCCAAAAGCCTTATATTCATAAGTAGGTATGTTCCGCATGAATCCTAATGGAGGTGTTAGCCGAGATTTTACTCCAGTTTCCTGTTACACTTTGTAATTTTACGCTAAATCTCCCGCATGAATTTCAGGTTCCGCAAGAGTTGTATTCTGTTTTTGTTTTAACCTTGTAAATTATTTAAGAAAATCGTAACAAAGAAACGTTTAGATATCGATTAAAAGAGTTAATAATTATTGTTAGTGGTCAATCGATCATAATGAAAACTTTGAAAGAGTTGTCTAGGAAGAATTTAGGTTATTTATTCGTTCAATATAGACAAATATCTTCAGGTTCGATACCTTCACTAAATCTCCCGTGCTAGGTTGAAAAACAGAATTTCACATTTATTATATTTCCCGCACCTACAGATTAACGGATATTGGTACTTGGGATCTGTGGTTGGCGACAGGCTTGAAACCTATTACCTGCTGCTTAATTGTATTTGGACAACATCTTAGATTTACTCAACCAAGGTTAAGTCGTTAAGGGGTGGATATAATGAGGAAGTGATTTGATACACGTTTCATTCGTAAGCTTCCGGTAGCTTTGATGTTCTGGTTGCCACACAAGGGATATATGGTGTGAATAAGTATATGTATCTCCGTATATAAAAGCCACATGCACTTACTTGGTTGCAGAAAGTAGGATGGCGTACGGGTGTTCCTCACAGCAATTCTTTCTGATCCTATTAAGATATAGTCTTCATTGTCAATGCCTTTTATCCCTCTCCACGGATACGTGATGTTGGTTTCAACCTCATCTGGAAAGATTTAAAATGTAGATATAAATGTAGCAGAAGTATCTAATCAGAGAATTAAATGTCGTGCAATTAAAACTCGCTGAGATTTATCTATTTTTATTATTTTTACAAAATAACTCTAACATCTATCTATAAATAAGTAGGTAGCCTACTGTTTTTAGTTGTTAGATATACAAATAGTTATATGAAAAAAAATGATGTGGTGTCGTGGGACACCGGTAGGAACGAAGTTCCTTCGGCTAATGTAGAGTAGAATCGACACAAATTGCAAACTCGCTTGTGTATGCGACTGTCGCGCCTGCGCACGTCTCATTTAACGGTTTTATTCCACGCACTTTTTTCCACGGAGTTTTTCTTACGGTTTTACTATCACATTTTTTTCAGTTCGGTCGCGCAGCAAAATCCCTATCCCCTCCAAGCCTGCCGTAAGGAACTTCGTTCCAATTATATGAATAAGTTACTGCATTGAAGTTGAGTTCTCCAAAGCTCTATATATGTAGGTAAGTACTTAATTCACTAAATTGCCTATAAAACATACACCTGGGTTTATAATTCGACCAAAGTTTTGTAATATTACCTAAATTCTATTTATGGTGATACTTTGCTTATTATTTCTTTTCTTTATGATTGTATAAAGAAATATGTATTTTCTTAAGAAAAAAATATATAAACCAATATTTCTTATATTTCTTCTGTACCTAATAATTATTAGAATATAAATATTAAACGTTTCTTATTCTCAAACTTTTAATGTTAACATGAGTTCTATTTGTTTCTTTTGTTTATGATAGTATAAAGAAATATGTAATTTCTTAAGAAAAAAAAACAATATTAGTTATATTTCTTCTGTACCTAATATTAATTCGAATTTGGGTCTTAAATGTCTCTTTTTTTTTCTTAATTTTAACATATCATGCTAGCTAGACAGTTGAAATATTTAGAGATGATTTATTTCTGATATTGCTTTGACAACAGAATCAGATACTGAAAAAAGAATAAAATAAATATTAGAGGGGTGCTGCCATACAACAAATAAATACATATTTTTTTTGTTCTCTTAAAATATACACAGAACATTTAGTTGTAGTAGGTATATTCACTTTGGAAATAAATTATTACGGAAACTTAACCCTTCGTGCGCAAGCCCGACTTGCACATGGCCGGTTTTTAATTAAATGTCTTAACCGTTTTTTTTATAGTCTACTCGGGATCGGTTTACTTTGATTGCTGAAAGTTTGGTTTTGGTTAATTTTACATGTCAATCAGACTATTCATCTTCGAAACATAAAAGCGATACTTACGAATACGATTAACGTAACTTTATATTATTAATTTTGTCATCTAATTAACGTGTTTCAACGGAATATAAATAGATAAAAGTAAAGAATACTTATATAGTAAGTATTTCTTACATTTTAGTGTTCTTGTTTTTTATGATAACGTTCTATAGATCGATGAGCACCGGAAAACCGAAACCGAAAAAGTGTGACGTCATATGACGAGTTAGTTCAACGTTCCGCACATGTGTGACGTAGAGGTACCAACTTTTTTTCCATCAAAAATAGTATTTTCGAAGCTGTTACATATACAAATATAGTGGATGTAAAATTAAATAAATAGTATATGTTTTTTCGAAGCTGTTACATATACAAATATAGTAGATGTCAAATTAAAAAAAAAAGTATATAGTTAAAATATTTACTTTGTTTTTAAAATGAATATATTATTATTTTAGCTGCTTTATGCCTTAATAATTTAATTTTCATTTTAAGAAAGCTTTTACTCGCAAAAGTCTGCATTAAGCAAAATATAGTAGCTTCACCTACTATATTTTTTTAGAAATATAGTAGGTGTATTTGATCCTTAATGTAATATATTAGGATACTATTTATGAAGTAGGCTTGGACACCCTAGTGTGAGGTGAGTTAGAGGGGTTACTTTGATCCACGCATCTCACAACAACGATAAAAAGAAGAAAAAAATAAAAAAACAAGTACTGGTGTCAATTCTGTCATGATTCTCTAAACTTGAATAAAATTAACATCAGGCTCTCCTTTTCACACTGTATAGAGAATGACGAATATATACTGTTGTCAAATTTAATTTTATGTTTAGATAATCAGATTAGAATCGACACCACTGACGAATAATATGAAGTGGGAACTGGCAGTTTAATTATTCCAATTATCGGCCACGTCGCTATAGAGGATTGACACTCGTTTTAGCGGCAATATTTAGACCTATTAGTAAGAATATAATGGGTTACTTAAAAGCTTGTTGTTGTGGTTGTGAATTTCACGTGTACATAAACATAAATTGTTTAAAATCGTTTTTTTTGTTCAAAAATTTTCTTCAAGTACCTATCATCAGGGTATGTCTCGTCTTTTCAGGGTATTTAAAGTTTTAATTTTTAGGGTTCCATACTCAAAAGGTAAAAACGGGATCCTATAACTAAGACTCCACTGTACGTCTGTCTGTCTGTCAAAAAGCTGTATGAATCGTGATATTTACACGGTTGTAATTTTAACAGATAATGCATTTTTGTTGCCGCTATAACAACAAATACTATAAACAGAATAAAATAAATGTTTAACATAAAACAAACCCATACAACAAACGTGATTTGTTTGTCGTTATGAATGACGGTAGATTATAAATTCACAGAATATTTAGTTGTATATGTACTTTTAAAATAAATAATAATATGAAAAGATAATGGAGTCGATTCTGGCGTGATTCTCTAAATTTAAAGCTAAATTTAATATCAGTCTCTCCTTTTCATACTGTATAGAGAATGACAAGAATACACTGTTTTTGTCAAATTTAAGTTTAGGTTTAGATAATCATGTCAGAATCGATACCAATAAATAAAAAAACCACTTTAACAGTTCCCATACAAAAACGTGATTTTTTGCTCGATTTTTCAGATAATATAGTGTCTAATGTTCTAAAAATAATGGTACGGAACATGTTACATTTTAAGAGCAGCCGGCCGTGGCATTCGCATTTATTTAGAAATGAGCCTTGCAAAATTATTTTTACGCATTTAGTTTCATCTGGCCTGGATGTCGATTCTGCTAAGCTAACGTTAAAAAATCGTCTCTCAATAATGGTTCAGTCGTAGGTAGGTATCAATTTTTGACACTTTTCTGGTTACACAAAATAAATAAGTATAAAATAAAAATGCATATAACTAGATAACAATAACAAATGAGTAACAAACACGTAATATATGTATATGTGTGTTTTTGTGGTTTAGAAACAAAACCATGAAATAGTGACCGTCGTGCGAATCTGGGGTGTATAATATCAAAGTCGGATTCAGGAAAAAATCTTTTTTTTCCATTTTTTAGGTGACCCTTACCCCTTCCTCACCACCCCAGGATCTCCAAAACGAAAAAATAAAATCATAAAAAAAAATTAAAAAGTTAAAGATTTTTTCCATGTTTTGACCATGACTAAAATTATGACGTGTTGTTTTTTAAAGTGAAACTTTTATTACATTGTCACTAAGTTCTTCATTCATCTCTAGCAAGTTGCATTACATTTTCAAATTGTTATTAAAAATTCAGACCTGTTCGACAGTTCAGTGGTAGAAAGCTCGCCTGCCACGCGGGCGGCCCGGGTTCGATTCCCATTCCCATCCGAGGAAGGTCTTTCTTTCCACTTTTTATAAGCCAAAGTAACATCAACTGAGTATAGGTAATTAAAAGTAACGAATTTTTATTTCTGCAAGTTTACTTCTAAATACAGGTGTTTTTTTAAGGTGTCAAGCCGGTGTTAGGTGATAGCTGAGTACTATACCGATCGATTTGACCCCCATGTATGTTCCGTGATTTTTTGTAGTTTTCGAGTTATATATTTTTTTCATTGTTTTTTATGATTTAACGACTGAACGGCTTTAAAAAATATAACTTTTTTTACTTAACTTTTTTAACTATTTTTTTTCTAGTACAATGCCTATTGCTTGTAGTTTTATGAGTAAAATAATCTCATTCCTAACTCTGCATCAAAATACAAAAATTTCGATCATTAGTAAAAAGATTGGGATCAAGCTGAACAGAATAGAATTTTCAACATTAAAAAAAAAATTTAGAGATCTTCCTGATCTCCTAAATAATTTTAAAAACTGCGCTATATCATAAGCTTTCATAATAATATAAAAAAATGTACTTTACGCGGCATTATTTGCTGAAATCGATCTCTGAAAGTATTGAATCAAAAATATCAAAATTTTCATATTTTACATTATTAATTATTTTTGCATAATTTTTGGCATTCTTCAGATTAATTTACCCATTTAACTTTAAAATGAGCTCATTTAATGAAAAACAGTTATTTTATCATACGCTACTATCCATTAAAAAAATAATTATAATTTATAAGGGGTAACTCATATTGCGATCATGTTTTGTTTATATTATTTTTTATTTTAACAATAAATGTTCGAAATGCTGGCCACCAACGGATATGCACATTCGGCACCTTCGCAAAAAAAATCTTCTTAAATTTGAAAAGGGCTCATGTTACGATCTTATGTGATTTTGCGCTTCTGTCAACTTGGTTTTTAATTGTTGTATATTTTCATATTCTGTGCAGTATACCAACTCTTTGTAAAAACCCCATACAAAATAAAAAAATATGGGTGCGTGTACTTAAGTACGCGCGTGAGAAGTTATACTTCTTTTTGGAATTATTAAAAAATAGTTTTTAATTGCATGCAGATAATTAATTACAATAAGATAATAAAAGTATTGGAAAAGGATAGTCAACGCAGTCAATAAAGTTCAGTTTTAATTTGAAAAATTTAATAAATAATCAAAATATTCAATTTAAATCACTACTGAATAAAATTTATTAGCACATAAAAATTTCGCATTTATATAACATTATAACACGTGTTAAGAATATAGAAACTAGAAACATGTGGATAAATATTATAAATATGAAAACAGTGATCAGAGGCGACGAGCGTCCCAACATGTGCGACTAAGAGATCC